CATTTTTGCATTTTCTCATATTTTTTTCTTTTCCCTTGTTACATTTCCCCTACCCTTCCCACTTTCCCTACACCTTTAGCACTTTTCTTCCTATTTCACATGGTCAATTATCTCATTAGAATCTTATGTACTATTATAACTTATTCACAACAGAGAAACTATTCGGTATTTACACATGTGTGACTTATTTATTTCACTTAGGAGTATATCCTCAATATGTATCCATTTTCCTATGAATGAAGCTAATTTCGCGTTCTTTATGGCTGAGTAGTATTCCATTTTATAGAAAAACCACATCTTCTTTATCCAGTCTCCAACTGATGGGCAAATGGGCTGTTTCCAAGGTTTAGCTATTGCAAACTGTGCCTCTATAAACATTGGTGTGCATATATCACTGTGGTATGATTCTTTTAATTCTTTTGGAAAGATACCCAGCAGAGGGATGGCTGGGTCAAATGGAACCTCTAATCCTAGTTCTTTGAGGTATCTCCATATTGATTTCCATAGTGGTTGCACCAGTCTGCACTCCCACCAACAATGGAGAAGGATTCCTTTCTCCCCACAACCCTGCCAACATTTGTTATTGATTGATTTCTTGATAGCAACCATTCTTTGTGGGGTGAGGTGGAATCTCAGTGTTGTTTTCATCTGCATCTCTCGAATGACCAGTGATGTGGAACATTATTTCATATATTTACTTGCTGCTTTTACTTCTTTGCCTGAGAAATGTCTGTTCATTTCAGATGCCCATTTATGAATTGGGTCTTTATATTTGGGGGGGCTGATTGTTCTGAGTTCTTTATATATTCTCCATAGTAGTCCTTTGAGGAGCAGCTGGTAAAAACTTTTTCCCACCTTGTAGGTTGTCTCTTAGTTCTGTCGATGGTTTCTTTTGCAGCACAGAAGCTTTTTAATAAGATGAGATCCCACTTGTTGATTCTTTGTGCTAGTTCCTGTGCTACTGAGTTCAAAGTTGATTCTTAAAGTGTACTTAGAAATGTAGTAATAAAGTAACTTCAAGTAGGGTACTTTTATTTATTAGATTGTAACATTGATTTCAGAACGTATCCTTTCCTCTATTTCTGTTCTTAGTATTTACTCACTGCTTTTAAATTGAGCCTTATTCATACTTGTCCTGTGCAGCATTGTAACATTATATGTACAGAATCAATAACCTGTTTTCTAAAACGCTACATTACACTAATGCTGTATGGTTACAAGAAAGGCTTGAAATGGTACTGGTTCTGTGGGATCAGATAGTTCTTGCCTGTAGAATTGAAACACAGATTGATACCCAGATAGAATGGAGTAAGGGGAACTATAGAGCAGAAGAGTTTTATTTTTGTCAGAAGATAGGGAGTCAGAATACTTCTGTTGATCTTTTACTGCAAGTTCACTCCTCGTTGTTAGTGTTTCCAAATAGTGCCATTTTACTGTTGATTTTTAACATGTATGTTGTTTGCTGTGTTAGAAAAAAAGTATCACTACAAGTTTGAGTGTGCTTTAAACAGTATGGTAAAATCTGGGCCGGGTTGTAATTGCAATAGTTCCATTTAATCTTCAGCAAATTTCTTTTAGCGCTAGTCTTTTAAAGAAATGAAAAACTTATCGTAGAGAACTTTTTTTTTTTTTTTTTGGTACCGGTGATTGAACTCGAGTCCTTGCGCTTGCAAGGCAGACCACCGAGCCACTGAACTAAATCCCCGGCCCTCGTAGAGAACTTTTAAAAGCATATATTATAAAATATTTGAAGTAGTTATATAGAATATTTTACAAATTAATTTAGATTTGCCTGAGTAGATTGCACCTCCCCTTTTAAATTGGTAATTTGTGCTAACAATAACTCCAAGTCAGATTTGTACACTGAAGTATGTATATTTATATGTTCTTTTAATATGTGTGAGATTTTTTTCTTTTATAAGAATTTAAAACTAACATTATGTTGTGTTCAGTATTTTTTAAAAGCTTATTTGTACAAGCCTTATTTTTTAAAAAATATTCATAGAGCCGGGCGTGGTGGCGCACGCCTATAATCCCAGCACTCGGGAGGCTGAAGCAGAAGGATCGCTGTGAGTTTGAGACCAGCCTGAGCTACATAGTGAGTTCCAGGTCATTCTCAACTATATAGTGAAGCCCTGTCTCAAAAAGCAAACAAACAAACAAACAAACAAAAAAAACCCAAAATATTCATGGCACATTTAACAACCTTGACAAAAATCATTTCCCTTTTTTTTTTAGGCAACAAGTAACAGAAATCATATTTGTTTTAAAAGCAGTGAGCACTCTCATTGATTCACTTAAGAAAACTCAGCCAGAGAATGGTAAGTGCTTAGAAACTCGGTTATCTTAAAAATTTGTAACATTTATGTTATTTTAAGAAAATTTAAAATCCATAAAAATATGGGAATAACAATAGTTAATACACTATATTATATTACTCATTATATTTTCTATTACTGTTAACTTAGCTGAATTTTAGGAACATAACAGCCCTTAGACATTTTCCTCCACTTTTCATGACAGCAGAACATCAACTCCATTAGGATGTCAGTTAAGTAAAATTCAATAGCAGTTTAGCTAATTTACTAGAAAAACTAAATAGGTTTGAATTCAAGATGTTGCATGGACAATTCATATTTTGTTATTTTTTCATATTTCACTTTTAATGTGGAAGATCACTATTTTGGAATAGATGAGAAAACTTTCATCTACTTTTACAGATTTACTTTATAAATATAAGCTATATAAATAAATTTGAATCAATTTTATAGTTCTTTTTCATTTGTTTTCCCTTTCTGTTGATCATTTCTATTTAATTCATTCTGTACATTATTTTCAGAAATGATTTTTCCACTGCATGACTTTGATCATTCATTTCCCTCTCCTCTCAAAACACAATTAAAAAGTCATTTTCATTTGCTATTTCCTACCAAATTGCTGAGTCCTACAGTCTAACTCCATTCTGTTCATGCTTTATTTCCCATTAGGTTTCATTTACTCTGCCGGTCCCACTAAATTAAAATTCTCTAAGTTCCCAAGTATTTCCACCCTTTCACTTATTCTCATCTACTTCATATATCCACCTAGTTCACATACTACCCTACTTTCTAGCTTTGTTCTTAATCCCTTTAAAAGCATATGATTTCTTTTTTTCGGTGAACTCAGCACTTTTATATGTACCTTTGTTTTGAAGCACTGTATTATTCATTGCAGTTAGACGTGTACATGATTCACCTCCCCTTCCTTACCTTGTAAATATTTTGAGAGGCTTTTTGGACAGTGTTTGTACTACTGTGAATTTTCTACAACATTGCTTCTCAAAGTGTAGTTTGTTGGTCCAGCTATTGGTCTTAAAAGTTTGTGAGGGAGCTAAGACAAATAGTTGTATCAGAATATAAATCAATTGTGTTACTAAACACACTGTTTAATTCAGCTGACTTTTTTTAACACAAGACTATGTTAAAGAGGATAGTAGTGCATTGATTTACATTCTATCATGAGATTATTTTTTTGCAGACTAGCACTTTAAGCAGCATTATTGGGTGTTTTCTTTTATTTGTTTTTTACTTTTTTGTGGTGCTAGGATTCAAACATAGACAGGGCTTCATGTGTACTAGACATGCATTCTACCATTGAGCTACATTTCCATCCCCAGACAACATTACTTTTTTTATTTTTGGTACCCGGGATCGAATTCAGGACCTTGTGCTTGCGAGGCAGGCGGCGGAACCACTGAGCTAAATCCCTGGTCTTAACATTATTTTAATACCCAGAAATAAAAAAATGTTTCAATAATTGATTAATAACTTAATGGCAGGGTATGAATTCCTGTCAAAATTCGCCTGTTGGTACCTTGACCTAAAAAGGATGTTATACTAAATTTGAAGCATTCTTCTTTTATCTCTTTAACCATAAGACTGGAGAAGGGGAGGATAAGATAGAATTCCCAAGAAAAAGTCTAGACAAATGTCCTGAATCACCCCCCCAAAAAAAGTATTTAAATGTTTTAGTTGATTTTTAAGTGAAGGAAAACCATTCATTGATATACTAAAGACCAGGAAATTCTTTGTTTGATTCTAATTAAATGCTTGAAGATATGTTTATATTTTCTTTATTATTGCCAGAGATATGCTAAATATAACCAGCATATTTACATGCATAGTATTTGAATTATTTTATTAAATCTTTAGACAGCTGTCATGAATTTAAACTTACACATATAAAGGTAGTAAAAGGAAGGAAAACTCAGTAATTCCTTACAAAGCCGTTGGGCTATGGGTGGACCAGTATAATAATGATGGACATCTAACTAAATCTTAAAACTGTTTAAAAGAGTTAGAATTATGCCTCTGATCATATGAAGTGAAAATTTAAATAAAATGAAACTGTAGATGATATTGTATTAGAAAGTTATGATAAGCCTCTTTCAGAAAGAAAAAAAGACAAGAAGCCAGGTCTTACCAACAGAAATATGTTGGATTATACATAGCCATTCTAATTCAGATTTAATGTTTAGAGCTAGTACACTTCAAATCTACTTAGAATTTTTATTATAATCATAAAGTGTTTTTAGTAGAGGTGAAGACGTTTTTTACTTTTTTGTTTGGGGGAATGTCAATGTCATTTTATCTTTTTACTTGATCTTTAAAAAATTGGAATAGATGGGCAGGCATGTAGCTCAGTGGCACCATGCAAGGGCAAGGTCCTGAGTTTGATTAAAAAAAATGGAATAGATAGTGTATATATACACATAAATCGAAGAATAGAAGCCAGGAATGGTGGTATAAGCCTGTAGTCCCAGCAGTCTGGGAGGCTGAGCCTGGGAGGATTGCAAGTTCAAACCAACCCTGGGCATCTTAATGACTTAGTGATGCTGCCTCCCCTAAAAAAAAGGCTGAGGAGAGACTGGTGTAAGGCCCTGGGTTCAGTCCTGAGTGCAGGTAGATAGATAGGCAGGCAGGCAGACAGGAAAAGTTATAAGATGGTCTTTCCTCTATTCAATATCTGGCCAGTTCTTACCTCACCACCGCAACCATTTTATGAATTCATACTTCTGTACAGAAGTTTATGTAAACATAAAATATATACAGTGGACCCGGGACTTATGAACTCAATTCATTCGCGAGGGCTGGTTGTAACTCAAGTTGGTTAAGTTTCCTCTACACAGCCTTCAGAATATCTCTCCTGTATAGTTTTAGGCCATACTTTGTTCCATGCAGATCTCAGCGTCCTTAGAGCGATACTAGCCGAGGATTTCTCAACCCCACACAGGAGAGGATATTGTAATCTTCCTTCCAGACCTCCTTAAGGGTTAAATCTGTATCTGAGACCATCTGGAAGCATAAGCAGCTAGCACTCAAGACTTTGGTCCTAAGTTAAAAGTAAAATTCTGGTCTTTACCCAAGTTGTTTGTATATCAGGCTGGTCATAACTCAACGGTCCACTGTATTTCACTGCCTTCAGTTTTGTGTATAAATGTGCATAATAGCACTATATAGTACCTACTCTTCTGAACCTCTTTTTTCTTGTTTATTCATTGATGGAATTCATGAAAATACTTCCTTATCAGTACATTCAGCTCATTTATTTTTTTGATAGATATAAAGTCCCCACAGAAATTTATGGTGGACTTTAAAAAATATTTTGATTAAAGGAATTTGAAGTTTTCCTTAAGTTTTATTTCAGTTGTCATCTTCATGTGTTCCTGTATTTTCCTATAATAAACAAAGAATTGGTTTGTCAGTTAATTCTCCTTGTAGACATTCTAAATAAGTTTCACTTTACATAATCTTGTGTTAAATGATTAAAATGGGAAGTTTCGCAGAAGAAAGCTGGAGCACCTGGTATGGGGGTGTACTCCTGTAATCCCAGCACTTCGAGGCTGAGTCAGGGGGATTGTCTTGAGTTCAAGGCCATCCTGGGCTCCATATTGAGTTCAAGACCAGTGTGAATAATATAGTGAGACCCTCTCTCAAAACAAACAAACAAACAAACAAACGAAAAAACCCAGCTGGAGCAAAGTATTTAAACTTCCTAGACCAGTGGAGTTTAAGACTTATTTTTTATTTCTGTTAACAGTATTATTTTTACAAATTAAATATGTTGTGGGTTCCTAACATATAAAACAGATAAAAACAAAACTACTCTAACCTATCAATACACTTTAGCCCCACCCCCTTTTCTTCTTCCTACCCCTACTCTGAGGAAGTACTTGTTTGAGAAAAGAGGCTTAATGAACAAGTCATGATTTTCTAAGATATATATACCAAGGAATAAACATTAATTATTACTGATGTTAGATATTGGATGGAAAAAATTCTATAATCATATTAATTTTAGGAATCCTAGATCTGATCAGTTTAAATATGATCTTTTACTATAAGCACTCAATAAATTCATATGAATTATTAGTCCCCAAAAGGAGAGATGTATGCAACATCTGCCATACTTACTTGACCAAGAACTTTTAAAAAAGTAAACGAAGGAGTACTAGTTTGAGAAACTCATTCTTGTATTTTACAGCAGAAGTCTCAATAGACGTAAATGAATGACTTGACAGGGACATAGCACTGCCTTATTTCAGAAGGCACTTTGTATAGTTGGCACCCAATAAATTAGAGTAAAAAACAAAATCAAAACTCTTTGCACATTTATATTATTCTTTCTTTTGTACTATTCTGCTTCCCAGATTTGAGACTCATTTCACAAAGTGCCATAAAATCTATCAGGATGTTTCATTGTGTGAGTGCTCAGAAAACGATTATAATATATGATCTGAGTATATGGAGATTACTGAGTGGGATGTAATACTTTTGCTCAGTCAACACATAACCTTTAGCTGTACTCGGTCATGATAGTGGTGAGAACGGCAGACTTGGTCCCCCGTCACCAGAGTCTAACTCTAGTGATTTACATTAAAGATTAGGAAACACTATAAGAGAAGGATACAGTGGTACCTCAGTATTTGTCTTTTTTTTTTTTTTTTT